GGCTAAGTGGGTAACTTGATTGCTACAAAATGGGGTGGTGTCTCCTTCCTGCCTCCAGAGATGAGGAGTTTGTGGTGGGTGGGCAGGGGCTCTGTTAGGCAAGAGCAATGCCAGTCCTCAGGGAGGCTATGCAGGCCCACGGCAGCGCTCCACAAGTGGAGAAGGTACCACTGTCCCTCCTGCCCCCCTGCCCCCCCCCAGGGGGCAGGGCAGTGTGACAGAAAGAGCATGAGGTTCGGACTAAAAGGTCCGGGTTTGCTTTTGATTTTGCATTTACTGGCTATGCATCTCTGGGTACATTCCACTCCTGCCTTGCTGAGAAGGGCTGCTCCCACCCCCTGGGCAGCCCTGCGTGCGCCCACACCCAGATCGGCTCCGTAAAGCCAGCAGAGCAGAATGCCCTTGCCAAGGGATCAGTGGGGGCTGCTAAAGGAAGAGCCTTCTCCTTCTGTTTTCTCCTCTACCTCAAGCCATCCTATAATAATTATGATTGCTCATCCTTGTCTTTTGCCTTTCCACGGAGGATTCTGCCACTGAGTTTAATAAACTCTCAAAACGAAACAGTCAGAAAAGAATTTCTCTTCATCTTGTCTGAAAGTGCTATTTGTCTGCCCCCTGGGGAGAGAGTGGGGTCAGCTTCCATAAACCCAAAGAACACCAGCCATGGCTCACCTTACTTTGCTTTTGAGTTACCCTGAGATGCTGGAGAACACCCTGTCAGCCAGATCCTTGGAAGGATGGGTCCCGTGTCCAGGAATGATCTCTGCCATCCTGCAAAGTCTCACCAAGTCAACCAGAGAGCAATTTGCTGAAAAATTCCCTGGCCTCCAGCCTTCAGGGCCCTGCCTGCCCTAGGGGGCCCTTCTCAGTGGGGCTTTGTGCAGGGCTTAACAGATGGCAGAAGGCAAGTTCAGATGCCAGGCTGCTCTCCCATGTCCCTCTGGGCCACATTTACTGGTTTTAATGACACCGAATGGAGACCTCCTTCCCTGCAGGCCAGTTCCCCTGCCGACCTGAGGAGGTCTGCTGGTGGCCTTCTGTCCTCATCTCAGGAGACCCAGGCTAATCGAAGCTGACCCCCTTATCACCACAGGGCTGACATCAGGGGCAGAAAGGCCCCAGGTGTGTTCCAGGGTGCCAGGAGTTATGTCCCTGTGCATGCACATGTGTGTGGGGGCAGGGCAGAGGTGACTTTGGCTGCGGCAAGGTCAGAAAACCAGCAGCTGGGAACTCACCTGCCCTTGGGTGTCGCCACCCATCAAGTGGGTCACATCCCACTTCCTGGGCCCCTTTTGTTCCTGCAGCTCGGAGAAGAAAAGCTGCTTATGCTTTGGAGAGAGGGAAAGTGAACGAGGGAAGCCCACTTTTTCTCTTCCCAGGCCTTGTTCTGTCCTGAGAACACGGTTTAAAATATTCTAGTCACAGGCAGGCTATTCAAATAAAATAGAATTTCAAACCGCATGGGGCTTGTTGAGACATTCAGGCTTCTGGGCTGTGTGAAAGGCAGGGGGAGGGGCGGAGACGGACCCCCCCTCCTGACTCTCCCCGTCCTCTTTATTACCAGCAGCTGCGATGCTAGACACATCCGAGTGTGTCTCCCAGCCAAGGCGGACAGAGCAGGGCTGACAGCGAGCGAGCACACGAAAGCCACAGCAAGGCTCCCCTCCCTGGTGGCAACTTTAATTATTTGAACTGGAGCTCCGCAAAATAAAAATAAAAATAAAATAAAATCTGAATATTGTAAGTGGCTCTCCAGTTTCCCGCGGAGAAAAGCTTGGGGGAGGCAAAAAAACAAAAAAACAAAAAAACTCTTTCTGTTGTTTGTGGCTGGGCTAGGCATCGGTCTTTAAATATTCATGCCCCGTAAGCAAGTGTGTGGCCCGAGGGAGGAGCAGGCCGAGGCTGGCCAGGGAGAGGCACAGGGCCAGCGGTGGGGACTGCAGGCATGGGGGGAGGGGCAGGGGGATGGAGCCGGCGGGCTTCTGGAATACCCGGGAAGCTGCCTGGCACAAAGGCACATCCTGGCTACGTCTCCATGATCGATCTGTGGGCATCTGACCTGCCTTCGACTGTGCTGCTTTCCTGGCCCCTTCTGTCTCCACCGCCTATGCCCCCCCGCCCAACCCTGCCCGGGTCATTTCTCACCACTTCTGACTCATCTCTCTAAAAGGCAAGTTACATCACAGGTAGTGGAGGAAGACTCTCTGCACCGACTCAGAAAGAATTTCCATTACAACTGGCAGGTGCACCTCTGGCCAAGTATTTTCAAGTGTCAATGTGCATCCAAATCGCTGAGAGTGGGGTTTGAAAAATACAGATTCCCAGGCCCTGCTGCTCTGGGGCGTCATCCAGGAGGCCTGGGGTGGGACCTAGGAATCCCCACTGACTGCATTTTCTAAGTGCCGGCAACTGGAGAAACAGAGTCTTACTGGTCAGGCTGCATCTAGATTTTCAAGGAAACGCACAGAAGGTGACACCAGCTCCCTTTTGGGAATCCGATGATGATTGTGGGGTTTCTTGAGCGAGCGTTTTGAGATATTCTGCAACTACTTCAACTCCCAAGAGTTGGAGGGACCCTAGGCCTCCCAGGACTGGTCTGTGTTAAGAGGAGATGCTCAGTGCTGGGTGTCAGCCCTGGAGCTTGGCCAGCCTCTTGGTCCCTGTGGGCTTGACCCTCATCAGAGACTTTCACCCATCTCTGCTTCGTGTCCCCTTCCTGTACCCGTCCCCAAGGCCAATGAAGGCCCCTTTCAGGTTGGTGGGGTTTGAAGGCCCCGAGGTAACCCCACACAGTTCACACAGCAATTCACCATCCCCTGTCACCGACGTTCGCCAACCTGGGAGGAGGACATCAACTTGCAGCTTCTGCATTTAGGATCTGAATAAAATAAATGGCAAGGCTTACAAACCTGGAAGTGCATATTTCTATTTTGGTTATTTATTTTTCTGATGAAAACATTTCCCCCAACGCTGGGAATTCAAGACCCATCAGCACTAGATGAATGGTCTGCAAACCTGAATGCGAACGAGCTGTGTGATGAGAAAGGAATGGACTCACTGCCTTCCCTTCATTACTCCTGCTGAGCCAAGTTCTGGAAAAGGGCAGGAAAGAGCAGAAATAGCCCAGAGCAAATTTGACTGGAGGGAAAATAAAACAGGCCAGTAAAACAAAACACCTGTTTAAGCTATTGATCAACCAAAGGTTATCAGGGAAATGATGAAGTATTAGAAAAATATCATTTTTAACCTTGACATTTCTTACTCTAAAATTAGGCTCCTGTTAAATCAAGTGAAGAATACATTTAAAAATCAAATGCTTTTAAGGATCCCCCTGACCTCTCAAGAAGGCCAACCGCCTCTCCGCATTTAGGTTTCCCTCTTAAGAAGCCTTCCCTCCCAGGAGTCCGCTGGGAGGCACCTCAGAAATGTCAGCGATGACTGTGTAACCCACCACCTGCATCAGATAGCAGGATTTCTCAGATACAGTTTCACATAATGAACCTATTCATTTGTGCCCTGACTTCTTCCAAAAAGGACTTAAGGTGGCTCACAGAGATATGTAATATCTAGTAAGGTAACATAAACGAACTAGAAGAGGGTGAGAAATTGGCCAAACATTGGCTTAGAAAATCAAGCCGGGAGTGAGGCTGCTACGGACTACACATCATGAACCCCTCTTTGCTTACTAAGAGTGGAGCCTCAGATTTAATTTGACCATTCTTCCGATTAAAAAAAAATTCATTGATACATCTTTTCCATGCTTATTTGTGTTTGCCTGTGAGTTTGTATCTCACAAAAAGCCTGGAGACCTTGAGTTTAGCTGTGTCCCGGAGCCACCGAAGCCTGTCTCCCCAGGGCTTGGGGGCTCCACGGAGCGCAGGGGAAGCGAGCCTGGTCAGTTTCAGCGAGTCCACAGCTTGGAAGGAAACAAATTGCTCAGGGGGCACGTAGCCATTCCTGAAACAAAGCCAGGAAGGGATTTCTCCTGTGCGTTTCCAGAAAGAGAGGACTGGCCAAATCTAAAGCCTGTGTTGGCTTTCTACTCAGTGCAAGATGTTGATGGTGGCACAAAGAAGCAGAGGCATGTGGGGCTCTTGGAGAACTTGGAATCTGGTTTTGGCTCATGTCCTTTCCCTCCTTCCCCATTCTCCTTACCTATGTTTCCTCAGGGTGCCAGGCACTGTTGGCTAAGTACTGTCACGCTTATTTTGTGCCAGGAACTGTGATAAGGCCTGAGTACATATTAACCTATTTGATCCTTTCCTCTTTGGGGTAGGCACTCCTATTGTGTCCACTTTCCAGGTGGGAAAACTGAGGCCCTGAGAGGTTATTAACTTCCCAAACGAACTGTACAGCCAATCAGTGGTGGAACCTAGCTTGGACTCAGGCAATTGATTCCAGAGTCCATGAGCTTAATCACTGGGCCACGTTCAGGTCTAAGCACATTTCTTGTTCTCTAGAAATTATGACCTTAAGCTAAGAAACATGGCAAGCCCCTCAGTCCACACACTAAAGACGTTACAGCCACAGGAACCATCCAGGCAAGTGGCTTTGGGGGTACCTTACTGAATGCCACCAATATCTTAGTGAAATTTATGTAGATCAAATTTTTGATGCTCTATAAAATTTGAAATGTATTGCAAGAGCTGGATGTTTATAAAAAGTCTTTTGTAGATCACTGTTACCCTCCCCTGTTGTGCCTTGGAAATATTTTCTGGGTTTGCTTCAATCGAGGCCCCACTGCAAAGAGTCCAGTGTAGCTGAGTATGGGTGTTTAAGGTAAGATCCTCTGCAGATGGAACTTCACCGTGTTGGTGCATGCCCTCTGCCTAAAAGATGACCAAAATGCCATCTTGTCCCCCCCACCCCCACCCCCCAGGAGAACAAGCAGCCCTACTACCCAGGCTACTTTGCTTATGTTTGGGTTTGGCTGGAAGTGCCCAAGGTGAGGAGTGGGATGAGCAGTCCAAGAATTAAGGGAACATTGAGACTTGCCTCACATGGAGAGTTCTTCATCGGGGCGGGAAACGTAGCGCTGGTCACTGTAGCACTTTCAGAAGTAGGGACGTCAGTGGTGCTGAGCAACAGGGCGTGGCCTGGGGCAGAAAGGAAAAGGGTCAGAAATGCACCATTTTCATGCACTGAAGTGCCTAGGGGTGCAGGGTTAATGGGCTCTGCATCATTCTTCTCTAGACTTGGAACATCTTTGAGGACACAGCTTTCTGCTGTCCAATGGATCAGGCAGTCTACTTGTCACGGTCAACAGAACTTGGCTCATGCACAGATCTTCCTTCCAAATGCCCTGCAATATCCCAGCATCATACATCCTGAGCTACTGCACCCCTCATCTCCCCAGGTCACCAGCTTTAGCCTATAGCCCAGGAGCAGCCTGAAGCATGCTGGACTCCCCCACCCCTCCCCATTTCCAGTCCTGTCTGCCCTTTGCCCTCCAGTGGTCTCCACGACCTTCACTCTCTTCTACCAGGTCATCCTGTGCCCCATGACCTGACCAGGAAGTCTTATTTCTTGTGTTTTCTCATCGATCTGTCTGCAAACCTGGGAGAACATGAGCCCCTAACCCCACATGGTGGGGAAGAAGAATCTGGAAACCTCCAGGAACTACAGAGTGTTTTGTAGGTGGTCAGTGCTATGGAGATAGGTGCCAGGGTGCTCCCGCAACCTTTTAGGTATGCCACAGAACCCCACAGAGGACGTCACTCATTCATTTCTGCTCTTCTCTCTTAGCAAAGTCTGTTTTGGGGTTACTACCAAGTAACAAATTCAAGTGGGTCCAGAGCAGAGTAACCAAGACAGGCCAGAAAGCCTAGAAAGCATGTGGCCCGTCCTTGAGGAAGAATCTGTGACTAGGGCGAGAAAGTCCTTCACACGGTGTCTTCAAATATCTGAGGGGCTGCTTTGGTGAGAGAGGGAATAGTTGAGTTCCAAGGGGCTCTGGGAGACAGAAAGTATGATCCATGAGTAGAATTTACGGAGAGGTGGAGCTTATCTCTGGGAAAGGAAAACTGGTCTTTGGTTGCAGCAATCAATGGAAGGGACTACTTTAGGAGGCCGTGAGGGCCCTGTCACTAGAGGTATTCGGCCAGGGTCAGATGCTTACTTGCTATGGGTGCCATGGGAAGCCACCGAACTGAGAGCAGAGACATGAAGATCATGTCTTGCTTTGAGCCCCATTTCTGTTCTCTTCTCCTCCACAAGGTGCTGAGGATGATGCAGTACGGTGAGGAGGCCGGGAGGAGAAGCAGGAGCTCTGGGGCCTCCTCTCTGCTGAGAGTCTCCTGTGGCTGCAGTAACTCAGCCTGCTTCCTCACGGGCCAAAGCCAGCTCACTCAGGTGCAGTTAGCTCTGAGGGCCAAGGACAGGACTGCACGGGCTCTGGGATCTCCAGTGGTGGATCTGGACATTGTCCTCTCTCACACTTTGATCATCATCACTACTATTATTATTAATTCTTAGAGGGATCCATAGGCTGTATGATCTTTGCTTGGAAAGAGAGGGATTTGGTACAAGGGGCTCTAGCTCCACAAAGAGTAGACAAATGCAGGGGAGAGAAGGGGAGAGAGCCCTCGCCGCTGAAACCAGCTCTATCCTGCAGAGAGGTGGGCCACAGGGCCTGCCCAGGCCTAGCCACTGGGTAGAGCCCAAGGCTGGGCCCATGGCTGGGTGGTCCGGCCTCTCCAGCAGCCCAAATTTGGAAGTTGTGCTGGCCTCACAGGCCCTGCCTCCTTCCTCCTTCATTCCATGCCCCAGCCATGTCTCCAGTGGCGTCAGCTCACCCAGGTGTGGGTGGCCATCTCTTGAGTGTGTGAGGCCCTTGTTCCTCTGGCAGGCCAGCAGGAGCAGAGGGACGATGGGCTCTGGCCCTGGGAAGGTGGAAGTTGCCAGCTTGAGCTGGGCAGGGATGGGAGATATCGCTGAGGAGGCTGGGCTCCAGGGAATGGACCAGATGTGGGGCTAGGTTCCCAGGGCACGACCTTGGGCCCAATGACACAAGGCCTCCCTGTGCATCAGCCTCCCCATAGAGAGCTAGGGTTTTCCTTACCTCTCAGTGAGTTACGTGCCAGACACAAAGTTGGTTCTCAACAAACACTTAGTGAATGAATGAATGATTACTATTGTTGCCACTCTTCTTATCTTTTAGCTAATCCTTCATCCGGGTTCTCATTTTAGGGAATCAGAGGTGACATCTACCTTGGCCTGATTTAATCATTCTGAAGCCCAGGAAGTCTGAAGAGGGAATTGTGAGCGAGCACCCCAGGGCAAGCTCTGTGCAATCCCCTGGTCTTGCCCTGCAGGGATGGGGAGGTCTAGCTATTCTGGGCTAGGGGCCTAAGTCTCTTGTCTGGCCAGATGGGCAGCAGGGAGAAGGGAAGAGAGCAACAGTACCTCGGTGGTCCTGGCCCCGGGCATCCTTCAGGGTCCTGACCTGCCACCGGGGGTTGTGGGGTGCGAGTGTGCCCTGAGTCCAGCCACAGAAGCCATCCTCGAAGTTGCAGTAAAAACCAGCAGGGAGTTTACCTGCAGGGAAAGCACAGGGGCACGGTCATTTCTGGGACCGCTAAAAGCAAAATATGCCAATGTCAAGTAACATTACCCAGGCATGACCCAAGTATCCTCATCAACTACAGCTCCCCAGCTGGACTCTTGATGTCTAATGTTACTGATGATAATGAAAAGAAGCCCGGGGCCCTAACATGTACACATGATCTTCAGAAAATAAAATAGTCATAATAATAATAATAGTGCGGTAGCAGGGGAATAACCCAGTTTTATATGTGACAGAGGAGAGCTCAGGAAGGTTAAGCAATCTGACCAAGGTTACACAGCCAGTAGGTAACACAGCCGGGCTTGAACCCAGATCTTCTGCTTCTAAGTCTGTGCTCCTTATTCTGATCCACTGTGAATGTGACCCCAGGAGAAGGCCCTGGAATACATTTCTGATGGTTGACACAATGACAAGAATGTGATGGTTGCAGTGGTAGTGTTGGTGGGACTCAGTTGGATCCCTCAGTCGCTCCTGTCTGCAGAGACACATACTGCTCAAGCTTTCTACTTGCCCCCCTTTATCTCCCACCGCCCTTCCAGTGAAGGGAAGCCACGTGAGTAGCTCTGGCCCACGAAATGTGAGTGGAAGTGATGTGTGTCGCTTCTGGATTGAGGCTGCAGAGAGCCCCTGTGCAATTCTTCAGTCTCTCTCTCCCTGCTGAAGCGGCCAAGGGGAGCTCCTGTTCCTGAGACCGCTGCTGTCTGACAGTGGGCGCCCCCCCGCTTCGGTGCGCAGGTACTCTAAATGTTATGTTAAGCCCTGAAATTTGGGGATGGCTTATTACTGTTCTACCTCATCCTGGCTGAGCAATGCTAGCCACGGGGCCCCTTTATATCATCTGTTGGCTCAGCATAAAGAGCCCCGTTACCCTTTTCTCTACATCAGGCTGACCTTGGGTCCCATTGAAAAGGCCACAGTCAGCTTTATGACCATATATTTCCCAAGTGCCTGCAGAAGGAGGAGGAAAGGAGAAGAGGGTCCAAGAGAGCTCACTCTCTGTGGTTTGCTCAGGGAATGGCTGCAGGGAAGGCACCCAGCCCTGAGGAGCTAGTGGGCTATTCCAGGCTATTCCGACAGCACCAACAACCCCAGGCCAGGCTGGGGAGAAGCAGTAGGACTATGTCTCCGAGCAGGAGGAAAGGCGCTCTAGCTGGACCCACCACTCTCTGTGTCCTTCCTCTGTCTCAGCCTTCCGGGCAATGGCAGGCTGACAAAGAGAGTCCTAATGCTTCCTGGCTGTGACAGCATCTTAGTGAATTATTACTCATTTCCCCCTGATTCTCTATGCATTTCACACAGAGGCGGAATTATAAATTAAAACCGGCTGTCACTGACTTTGAACATCTCTTCCCATTTATACCCCCCTAAAGAAATCATTTCCCCCCCAAGCCCCGCATGTTCCTCTGATTAAAAATCCAAAAGCTAAGGAGATCTTTCTGTTTTATTTTTTATGCCCCCTCAAGGGACCCCACATCCACTTCTTTTGCAAAAACTAACTGGTAGCTGGAAGTGACCTTCCGCAAAGCGTCCTTTGCAGGTGTGCTTTAAACCAGGGACCATGATGGAAGATTCTAGCAGGCAATGGCTCCTGGTAGAAGGAGGAGGCAGGGCTGGGTTGAAGCCTTCACAGCTTATCACTCCCTCCTTCCCCTTTTAGGAGGCAAAGACTGAGAAGTTAGCCTCAACAGTCCGGGGATTTGGACACCTGGAGGTAGCCCTAACCTGCTGCTTCCTGCTGTGTGACTCAGAAGGCAAGTCACTTCTTTTCCTCAGAGACGTAGCTCCGTCATCTGTAAAGTGAGGCAATATTAGTGTCTATTTCACAGGGCTGTTTTGAGGGTCAAATACAGCAGAGAGTGTGGAGTTTTGTAAGCAGACAGTTGAGGGAAATAAAGGGTGGTGGTGGCATTATGAATCATCGATCATTCCGGGTGCAGGGGACTCATCAGAGGATGAACTGAAACAGTCAACACTGCCCTAGGGGCAGAGACAGCCCTCGGCTGCCTCTCTGGAAATGCCTGTGGTAGCTCTGCCCATGCCTTCCCCCTGGGACAGGAACGAGGAAAGCCATTGGTGTTCTCCACCTCCTGGAAGCCCATCGTTGTGCTGGCTTTGCCTAAGATCCAGGGTGAGCTGGGATTGGGAGCCCCTTTCTTTTTGGCTGCTTGAAATAAAGGGAGAGGAGAGAGGCGAAGTAGTTTGGTCAACGGACAATTTATGTGATCCTGAAAGCCTTGCAGGATGGGAGGGGGCGCAGGAGGAGAGGACTGCTACTCTTGCCAACACAGCCTGTGTGTACTCAACGAGAAGCTACTCCTAAGGAAGCTGGTGGGGTGGGGGGTGTCCTAACAAAGACCCTTGATGGATTAGGGCCAGGCTTGGGACACTGCTGCCAGGGCCGGTGGCTGAGCACAACGTTGGCATGCAGAGTTGAGTCCAGTGGTTTCAACTCCTTCTTTGATCATGCCTTTCTCCTCTCATTCACCCCAAGAGCCTACTCAGGGCTCAGCGTGCTGTAGGACCGAAATACTTATTTGCTGAATGAAACAGGCGTGGGTTCAGTCATCTAACCCCTTGCTACTCCAAATGTGGTGCAGGGACTAGCCACACCCACCTCACCATCACCGGTGAAACTGCTAGAAGTGCAGACTCTCAGGCCACCCCCCCCATAACCACCTGCTGAGTGAGAATCTGCATTTCTAACATTTTCCAGGTGGTTCCTATGCATGGTAGTGGCCACCGAGAAACACTGTCCTAACTGATCCTCTTACTTCGTTGGCTGGATGGCAAATTAGCCTGCGTGGGGGTCAATCAATTCTGCAACATTTGGCAATTATGACACCTGATTCCACTGTAAGAGAGACAAATTGGGAGAGTCACAAAGATGTGGCCTCAGCAGGGGCTGCAGGAAGCTGCCAAGTATAAACTCCAGGCCAAATGACACTACTTCTTTTCCTTCCTGTGTGACAGCTCTGTTAATATTTTTGATAAATAGGTGTTATACATTTCCTTGAAAATATAGAGTCATGGGAAAAATTGCTAGAAGAAATACATCACCATATTATGGTTATCTCTGAATGTCTGAGAGGGAGGATGACGGGTGATAGTTATTTTCTCCTGTGTACTGTTCTAGATTTTCCAAATATTTTACAGCCAATATGTTTTATTTTACAATAAAAAAATAAACTTTAAAAAACTTTTTTTGTTTTTGTTTTTGTTTTTGCCTGGCAGGAAGAGTGTCTCCACCAAACAGATGAGATTAGTGAGTACAGGGAGGGGAAGCAAGCTGCCTGGATTACCCAGTAAGTCAATGACCCATCAGGGGAGGAAGCGGAGACACCTGGCCATTTTCTGGGGAGTCACATGCCATTGAGGCCATGGCTTGACACACAGGGAACCGTGAAAATACCCTTTGATGGGCTCCAGCATTCTGGGATATCTCACTGGGATCAGCAATGTTTAAGTGGAAAGAGGGAAGGAAGATGGTGTGTGGTGTGTGGTTTGGAGGACGCAATGTGAATGGACACATTCATGCTTGTATGCAGGAGGGCAAGGGCAATGCCACCTCCATTTCAGGTACCCTACTTGTCCTGGCTTGGAATGGTGCTCAGGATTGAGTCTGATAATCTGTATAAAGTTGTGTGTTGACTTCCTTCTGGAGCAAGTATGGGGAGTTAAGGCTGGGAGTTGATGGGATATAACCTACTTTCCCCTCCAAATTCCAACCATGGCAGGGCTTAGTGGACTACCCTGGCCAGAGATTAGTGACCCTCACTCATGGGGGTTCCTTAGAACTGGACGTTCCCAACAAGGCTTGGGTGACCACCTGCTCAGAGAAGACATTCTAACAGGTTCCAGACCAGCTGGGAAGGACCAGGTGATGTCAAGACCATTGTCATAAATGCATCACAAACATCAACATATCAGTGGGCATCATGTTATAGGTTATATTACAGGTGAGGAAATAGGCCCAGAGGGTGAAGACAAATGATCTGAGCCCCTTCTACCCCCAGAGGAATGTTGTGGCAGAGCTCTGGACCTTCCTTGACTTTTCCCTTCCTCCCCTTCTTCCTGGGTAGATACATAGCTAGTGTTGTGCTTGGCACAACCAACCACTAGAAACTGATATAACAAGTGAGTCTGGCTTGCAGTGGTTCAGATTGGGTCTGAACTGCTGCTCAACCACTGGTTAACAGTTTCATGGACTTTAGGTTCCTCATCTCTAATATGGGTATAATAGCATCACATAGGATTATTTTGAGGACAAAATAAGTTCATACATGAAAAGTATTTGGACAGTTCCTGGCACACAGTAAATGCTCAATAAATGTTAACCATCATCATCATCATCATCATCGTCATTATTATCTTCTTCTTTATGGGGATGTTTTCTAGAATCAACATCAGTGTGATAGGGAAAACTGCAATGATGCTAGACAGAATGGGGCATGCTAAAAAGGAAAAGGATATTTGCTAAGAGTACTGCCAAGATCAGAGTAGTAAGATTGTTCTAACCCTCCTCCTGAATTAAATTTCTCCTCCTAGCAACTGATTTCTATAGCAAAGAACTCG